TCAGTGCAAATATTCAGCAGGGACTCCCGTGGCCTCCTGAACTCCTCCCGAGCAATTCGCTCATCTAATTCCTCTCTGGGAAGGCCTTGCCCTTCCTCCAGTAAGTGAAGATTTTCCCTGGGGAATTATGGAAAGTTAACTGGGGGTCTGAGAGGTGTGCAGGGGGACAGCTGTCAGGGGAGGGTTTTCACTGAGGAAAAAGATATAACGTCTTATATATATGCTAGTAAGTCAGTAGGGCAGAGCCTAGAAGAATCTCAACTAAAGGATAAAGTTTATCAGAAAACTTGGTACCCCAAAAGAAGGAAGTTTTACATTAACTTCCTAGGATTTACCCAGAAATAGTATGCTAGGCGTTGATCAAATGGAGTCAATGAAACTATAACCCAACTCAAAAAGCAATTATCACCAAGTATCAAAAGTAGTGTGAAATTAGGGCTTGTTTCTTTGTACCTGATGAAGTGCAGTTTAGCGCCTTGTTCCTGGTACCTGGAGTGAGAAAGACCAGGGCGTAACCATTGGAGCAAAGACAGGGGTTGTCTTGATGGAGATTTTCTTATGGAAAACCCTGGAAGCTATAGTATTTAATAAGCACACAAATACTCATTCTGCAACATAAAATCTGTCTCTCTCCTTTGCTTACCACATATGGGACAATTATAACTGCCACAACAGTTTCATTCCTAAATAATTTGTTTTATTTTCAAAATAAGTACATATAATGAGTAGGGTATTAAATTTATACAAATAATGATACATACATACTTAAAAATGTGCTTCTGGCCCTCCCTGGTGGCGCAGCGGGTTATAAAGCACAGCACTGAGAATCTAAAGCCACTTCCGCATGAGTTCGATCCCCGCCTGCCCCGGAGGTGACCACATGGCGTGGCAGACCTCTCCTGACCGGCTCGCTGCTTCCCTCAGCAGTGTACTTCGTTGATCTCCCTGTTCTGTTCCCCACTCTGTTTCTGATGAAGCTTCTCGCTGCCCCTGAACCTCTGGCCTGTACCCCAGTTCTGTATGAATAAACAAATAAATTTTTTTAAAAAAAATATGCTTCAGAAAGAGGAAAAATTTAGTTCCTCCTTAAGTTTTTTCTGTAATTATCCCATAATCAGAATAAAGAACTTTCTTGCAAGCTGATTTTGGATATAGCCTACCTTAACTCCTCCTTGGAGGAGGAAACTAAACTTTTTACCTGTGTTGGAGTATTTACCTGCGTGTGGAGGTTGTCACAGAAAGAACAAAGTAGGTAAAGTAGGTAACTAATACAGCACATATCTTAGTTATACACAAAGAGGACAGGAGATTAGATCAACAACTCTGAAGGCATCATTTAAGAGCCTAAGCCAAAGTCCATATGCAATGTTTATAGAAAATTTGTTCAGATGAAGCTGCCTCTTCTTAGATACCACTTTCTGATAATTACTATTTCACCTGAAGACAATTGAAACAACACTGAAATAGTGCAAAAACTTTCCAGGAGCCAGACAGCATGTCACATTTCCTACTCTTTTGGAAGCACATTTTTAAGAATGTATCATCAATTATATAATAAGTAAACACTGTGCACTGTTCATGCAAACACACTGACATATCAGTTGATGAAGGTGGCTTGGGTTTCTTTTTGACTTAGCCTAAAGAAGCCTTGGTATTTCCTGTAACTCTAAACTCTCATTTGTGTTTTCTCTTTGGAGGTTTCCACTCTCAGTATTGACTTTCACAATTCTCTGCATTCCCAACAGCTGACATGCAGATTGTATGACACTGAATGGCCGCAGATGACTAAACAGGTGAATTACCTGGTGTTTACCCCAGACGACATGGTATGATTGGCTGTGGCGGTCCCTTTGTGACCTTGGTCACACCTGCTCATTTGTGGGGCTGTCATGGGCCTGCAACAAAGACAGGAATCACCGTAACAAAACAACAGTAGAAACACATATGTGATCCTCAAGTTCCTGAGGCTCACAAAAGTTTAAAGTTAGTCTTAGCATCTTAAGAAAACAGACTGTCTAGCTCGGGGCTTTTCTCTCAGTCTGTCACTGTTTCTGTTCTGAGGGGCGATTCAAGGGAACACTGTTGTCAAGGATCTAACTTCACCCACCATCCTCACCATAGTTCCCCATGCTCCTCCCTCCTTTTAATGCTGAGGGTCACTTTAAGAAAACAGGGTCTCAAGGGTCCACACTCATTATGATTTATATTCTTCTATGTCTGAGTAATGATCTATTGCTTTACACCAGGCTTTTATTAACTCAGATTTCTAAGTCTATACTGATTTAGGATTAAGTAAGAGTTTTCACTTCTGTAGGTGCCACCAGGAAGTTAATCATTCTAGACAGTAAGTATTAGGTCAGAGTATACATACTATTTTAGCCACCTATACCATAATCGATCACTGTTCTGAAAAACCATCAGAGAATGAAGCCTTCCCATCAATGTTTTACCTATGACTTCCCAGGAAGTGAAAAAGTTAGTATGCAATTTAAGTCGGGTATTTAGATGCTGAGGAACAGATCTGAACCATCTCAATGTATATCTGCAGGGTTCACTTTAAACATCAGGCAGATTGCTTCTGTATCAGCCTCTGAGACGTGGAAGGCATAGTAATATAGTCTGCCAAAGCAACTGCTTGCATCCACCTTCTAGGGCTCGTCTCTGTGGTGCTCACCTTCAGTGTTATGGATGTAGCTGGGCCGTAAGTAGACTTTTAGCAATCACACCAAATCTTCTCATCTGATGCCTTTGTTGTGTTAGACAGAATGGAAAGGTGGCCCTAAGACTGTCACCTCCTGATGTTACTTCAGTGACAATGTCACCATGTCATGTGGCAAAGGCCGATTATCTGGGTAGCTTTAATTATCACACCAGCTCTTTAAAGGCAGAGACTTTTCCCTGGCTAGAGAGATTCCAAACATGAGAAGGACTCAAGATGCCATTGCTTGCTGGACAATAGAGGGAACAGGGAAGGAGAACAGAGATGCCTTCTCAAAGCAGAGTGTGTCCCTGACTGAATGTGATATGGTGCCAGATACAGCCCCAAAGTGGAGCATTCCTCAAAACCTTTAACAAAAATTGAATGACATCTTGATTTTTGTCTTTGTGAGAACCGAGTAGAGAAACCAGCTGATTCAGCCTGAACTTTTACCTCACAGATCTAATAGATAATTAATGTGTATTGTTTAAGCCTCTCAGCTTATTGTAATGCATTATATAAAAATAGAAAGCAAATACACATATATTTATTTATTTATTACCACTTATGCATTATTTTTTTCAGGGAAAATAAAAGTTAGGAGGATGCAAGTGAAACAATTCTTTGGATCTTCTTTTTGTAAAAGAAAATGAGGACAATTTTGTTATCGTAAGTATAATTAACTAATGAGAGTGGTTCTACTCCACCAAAAGAATATTTAATGTGCTGGAATATTTAAATGTCAGAATCTTACCCAGAAATCTTTGCAGAATTTGGAGTAAATTATTTTGATGAGTTAATTGGCATATTCTTATAGGATAGAATATTGTGGAGGAAATATTCCCATCAATATGGGAAATATGAAGAGAAATAGTGAAAGTTGTACATGGGGAAAATAGATTGCTGTAATTGCAGGAAGGAATGAGTGATATAACTAGAGATGTATGAAGGAAGGGTGCAAGTCTGATAGTTCTCTGTACAATATTCTTCCCCCTAGGACTTCAGTGAAACCATCGGCAGAGCACTGGAGTCCTTTCCATTGGAAGAGACAGTCTGTCATGGTGCCCTGCTTCACTCTTTCCCATTTCCTTAGCTCATATATTAAGTACCTCAGTAGTGATGGGCTCCTGAAGGATTTGGGGCTACCCCCAGCTTCCCTAGGTTGGCCATATAGATCATGATTAGAAATTAAGTATATATTGACTTAACAACAATCTTACTTCCTCTTTCACTTGTTGGTGCATGCATAAAAGCTCACTGTAGACTGAGGGATTTCAATGTGGGGAAGTTGGTGCCTTTTAGTGTGGCTAGAGAAAACAGTAGGCTAAGGATATGAACAAACCAGGAAGAAGGATTCCCCACTACCGCCACCATGGGAAGAATATATCCTTTCAGCTAATTTTAGATGGGGATGGAGAAGGAAAGCCAATTGTCTGTGTGCTTTCCTGCCCTCACCTTCTTCACTCCTCTTGTTCCATGGCCCCTGTCTCCTTCCAGTCAGGCCCTTCCCCTCCATGGTGGATTAACCCCTTTTGCTTCTACACCCAGGAATCTTGTGACTGGGCTAATGTTTGGGTCTTTGTTTAAGACCAAGCTCTGGTGTCAATTTATCTTTTCATTCCAAATCTCTCAGCCCTCTTGAGTCATATCCCACAGAGAATGTGGCAATATTAGGATTATAATGAAATGTAACAGTTTGTTATATAGTTTCTGACATTTCAGTTAAAACAAAAAACTCTTCGTGACTTCGTGAACAGTAAAATAATAAAGGAATGCTTAATTGGAATTGCAGACATTAATGATATATTTCATAAAGTAATATATGAACTAATAAAATGTGAACCATATATTTACATATACTAACTGGCCCTTTTGCAAAAGATTTGTTTAACCACTGGCTTAAAGAGGCTTTTGAAACTCAGCAAGCTATACACAAATATGTGTTAACGATTATGGTAGAATTATTACTATTGTTATTAATTTATTTAGAGTATATATTTAAAAAAATAACTTTCAGTTTTCAGGCATAAAAGGCTGAGTTTGGTGAACTATTTATAACTGAAGGTTGTAGAGATTTTTAGTGACCTCATTTTTTTTCTTCATCTCTTTGGTAAATACATGCAGTTTAAGGCTGTGGACATTCTGCCGATGGGATTACCTGGTGAGGACCTCCACGCTGTATAGGAGGGCCTGCAGGGAAGTGGCAAGAGCAGCTGTGGCAGCGATCTCCTCCCGGGCTGCAGGCACCGTCTCCACTTGTGATGTCTGCCTCTTGAGCTTTTGTAGATAACATGGAACTAAAGCTTCCAAGACCATCAGCATCTGAAGACTTTAATCAATTGAAAGAAAACCAAGTTCCATTTCCTATATTATTTTTGTTAGCTGTGTCAGACTTAAGGGCATGGAGAAGTGAGAAAGCTCTAGAAAGACAGTGAATTCTGATTCTGATCTCATCGCATCCAAGTCAAGAGTAGTTAAAGCTACTAGAAACATTGACCAACATCCATGTCCAGGAAAAGATTATGTAATCCTGGTTTTTAGCAAGAACAAGCTCTGGTAAGGGAAATCAGTGGCAACCTAAAGCTTAAGCAGGTTTATAGCAAGAGTCTGTGAAAAGCCAGTATGATGCACCCTTCTTCCCAGGGTGGATTTAGTATTGGGGTATCAGCAACATCCTCTCAAAAGAGAAGTGGAATTCAAACAGTTATTATACAGGGTAGATTGACCCCTTCTAAACTATAAATGCATCGTATCGACATGGATCATTTGTTGGGAGATTTCTGCAGTTAATATTAAGTTTCTAAGCTGTAAATTCCCAAACAGAGATACTGATTGGTATCAAGATCTCATTTCCTTTGATCCATTTTCTCTCCCACAATTGATACCCATTGGTTTTGATGAACTGAGTATTGGTTTCTGATAGTACAATTTTGCTCTAGAGTCAGAAAAAGGAGATTTTCACAATTTTGTGAGTAAACGGGTACAACAATGATACTCATTTGGGGCCATTACTACATGGGCATCTTAAAAAATGAGGCAAGAAGTTAGTTCTGCTTCCTATAATAATCATCTTATTAGTGAGTCTGGACAAACATTTAAAATTATTACTAATGGGCCTCCCTGGTGGCGTAGAAGATAAGTCTCAGTGCTGTCACTGCTACAGCCTGAGTTTGATCCCCAGCCAGAGAGCAACAGACCTACATGATGCAACAGACCTCTCCTATCTTGTCCATTGTTTCCCTCAGCAGTGCATTTCAGTAGATCCTCCTGTTCTGCTCCTCACTCTGTCTCTGGTGAATCCTCTCACCCCCTATTCCTCTGGCATATACCCCAGATCTTGTATGCATAAATAAATAAAAATAAATCTTAAAAAATTACTACTGAATGTATTGGACAGATGCTAAAGTGGCCACGTCCCTTCAGAAGGTACACTGATTCTGGAAAAAGGGAAGCTTATTTGGCTCATGTAGATATTATGTAGCACTTGATTCCTCCAGGCATTTGCCAGTTGGAAAGTATTTGGAACCAAGAAGCTGAGGACAAATTCACGCAGATGTGTGGGCCAAGAACAGTGAAGCTAAGCAGAATTTTCAGCCATCTCATGAAAATGAGAAAGCATATATTGGAGTTCAGGGAGTCTCCAAGGAGGATTTAGGTCCTAGGAGTGAGTGATACAGAACAGTCCTAGCAAGACTGAAACCCAGCTTTAAATCAAGCGAGTCACACACTGAACTAAGATGATCTGCCCTACCCTACCCTAACTGCCTGTCAGGCAGGAACAAATCCTTCCTGGACGAGGATACCATAAGCCAGACTCTTAATTTACCCCCCTCACCCCACGTAATACTCAGCATTGAAAATATACCAGGTTGTCAGACCAAAGTGATATCAACCAAAGGAAAAGACAACAGAACTAAAACTATATGTTTGAATGCTTGATAGATACTGAAGTTACTACACTCAGACTTAAAACGACTGGTTAAAATATTGGCTACAATAAATTCAAAAAACAGGGAATTTCATCAATCTTCAAAAATTTATAAAAGAAACAACTAGGATTCTAGAATGGAACACTAAAATATTTAAAATTCAAAACTCCACAAGAGGAATAAAGACATAATAGGAAGGCTATGTATGTGTGTAAGGGAGCCCTAAAAGAAGAGGCAGGCCAGAAGCAATATTT